CTAGGTAAGTCAGGTCCCCGTTCCGGTTCCCGGCCCCGCCGGGCAGGTGCCTGCCACCCAGCACCTCCCGAGCATTTCGGGGCTCCTCACATCCTCCTCCGTCAGGGGTACCTCCAGCCTCCCCGGGGTCGGCGGCCAGCTGCGCTTTGTGGCTGCCCGCCGAGCCAGTCTTGGGAAGAGTGCAGGCTCCCCAGCTCTAAGTCAGGGAGTGGGGCACAGGGAGGACCCACTAAAGTGCTGCCCCAGGCACTGCTTGGCCTCCTGGGGCAGGCCCCACTTCTCAGCTAGCATACCCACGTCCTGGGGTCGCTGCACCAAATGCTGCGACTCCTTTCTGCCCCACACTCAGCTCCAGGCCTGGCCTTGGGTGCCCGCCCTGCGTGGGCAGTGCCTGCCCAGCTTCATAATTGCCCTAGAGTTGGCTGGAGGCCCAGAGGCCAGTTCTGCCCACGATCTTTGAAGTAAGTCTCTCCCAATTGCGCTCCACACACTTCATCAACTGGGGGCAGTTCTCTCTCTCACCCCCATCTCCACCCCAGGTTGGGTCCCTCTTTGCCCTTCTTCCTCTCTTCCAAATGGCACTTGGCTCTGCAGCCACCCATCAGTTTTCACACCCGCTTAGTTCCAGCTTCCTTGCCTCAGGAGAAACCAGGTTCCATGGAGACTGATCCTGGGATCTCAAAGCACCTTGTGCCTGCTGTGGTGGGTGTTCATGGTGGGTTGTTCTGGGCTAATCTTGCATGGATGCATAGGGGTAATGACAGTGGAATTGTTTTTGGCCTGAACTGGAAGGCTGCCTGTAGGAGGTGGTCTGGGGAAGAGTATGGCGTGGAGAAGTGAAACTGCCAGTACAGATGTTGATGAGGCTGAAGCCCTTGAAATGAGAGTGAAGCGTGGAGGTGGGGATGGTGACTTCAGAGCTGCTGTTGTCAAGGCAGAGGCTGAAGGTAGCCCCAGCTGCCTGTTTCTAGACCAGGGCTCCACAGTGGCACCAAGCAAAACCTTCCCCTGCTGCAGGTCCCTGGGCCCTGCAGGGCTAGGATGAGTCCTCTCCTTGGTCCCTGGGCAGGTGGCAGGAGGATGTACAGAGGGGAAGGCTCTGTGGGACCTGGGTTGCCTAGCACTTGCTGTGTTTTCCCCAGTGGGCAGCATGGAGCAGGGAGGAGCCCAGGGAGGTGGGGAAGTGCTGGCCTGTGGTTGAAAAAGGAGCACGCAGACGTCTGAGCACCCACTGCCTGTGGGCACTTACATTCATTTCACAAGTGAGGAAATTGAAGTAACTTGCCCCAGAGAGCACATTTAGTGAGTATTAGGGCTAGGATTTGAACACAGATCTGATTCCAAAGCAGGCCTCTTTGCTCTCCCTTTCCTCGCTACAACTAATACAGAGGAGGGGAGAGAGAGCTGTGTGGCAACTGATTTCCTAAGGCTGTGGAGGTAACTTTCCCATGGGGATCTCCAAGCATCAGCAGTTGTGGAGCCAGGAAGATGGGAGGGGGCCTTCTGAGCAGTCTGCCCCGAGGCAGTCAGGGAAGGTGTCAGCTTGGCCGTCTCCACCATCACCCTGATTATGAAACTTGCCTGGCCTGGGGCAGGGCTCTCCTGAGTCACATACGCACTCATGCACGGTCAGAGCTGGAGCTCTTAGTTCTCCTCCAGTGTGGAAACCGAGGCCTAGGACAGAAAGAGACTGGATCCCAGGCCACACAGCTGGGCATGGGGATGGTGCTGGAATCTCACTTCCTGATTGACAGCCTGTGCCCTTAACAACAGACCATGAGTTCTCCCTGTGACTCAGCCAGAGGATAAAGGAAGGGGCTAGGAGCCCAGCAGCAGGGGTGGGGAAGTTCAGAGGAGCCATTCTAGAGAAGCTGGAGGGTAGAGTTTGACCACAGACTCCTGGGCATTTTCCTCTAGCTTCTGCAGAAAGTCCATGGTATCCCCCTGGGAGGCCTAAAAGTGACACTGGTTGGTCAGGTCAGTCCCTTCAGGCCTGGCCTTGGAGTTTCCCCATTTTCCTCCCTGGTTTTGCCCCTCTGGAGGAGGGTGTGGAAGCCATCTAGGGACAGCATGATCTTGGTTAAGATATTATACTTTTCCTGCCTTACCTTTCTCATCTGTAAAATGGGGAGAGGGGGAGGGGTAGCCTAGCCCTCTTTACATTCTGAGGTTCTGCGATTTTATCTAGTGGGAGCTATGGAAGGAGAGAAGGGAGGAGCTAAGCCCTCTAAGTCTGCCAGGAGTATCTGCTGGGGTAGAGTTGGGCATAGGGGTGGAGTAGGGTGAAGAAGAGAGGTTTGGCCTTTCTGAAGGGAGAGAGATGAGAAGGGGCAGCTTGGGATTTAATGCCTCCCTACAGAAAGAGAGCCATATATGTAAATGAATGCATACCATATGCAAATGAAGGCTTTGTTATGGAACTGGGGCAGGCGCCTTGTGTGTCTGCTGGGCTAGCCAGGAAGGTTGGCAGGCACTGGAGGAGGGGATCTTCTGCCCCAATGGCGAGAGCAGAGCCTGGACCTTGCCCCAGAAGCCCCAGCTGCCTGGGCAGCCCTGTGGGGTGAGAGAAGCAGTGAGCTCATGGCGCAGCTGGAGGGGGGAAGGCATTGTGTGGTGAGAACTGACTGGGCCTGTGCCCTTTCCAGCTAGGGTCACTGGCTCCATTGTCTGGTCCAGGTGACACAGCTGAGCCAACTAGCACTACTGAGCAAGACTGCCAGCTCCCCTCAAGCAAAGGGGAGGGACATGTAGTCTCAGCATCCCCCAGCCAGAAGGCTCCCCTGGCCAGGCACTGAGGAAGGAATGGCAGACATGGAGGTGGGTGAGTGGCAGGGACAGATCAAGGTTTAGCTGGAACCAAAGCCTGGTTAGGTCAGGAATCAGATGTACTCCTTTCTGCCTTCAGGCGCTCTGCTTCTAGTCCACCAGAAATGGGATGCATCTAGGTGCCAAGGCAATCCTGGGCCCGTGCCACCTTCTTGAGATCCAGGTGTCTTATATCACAGCATCCCTTTCCCATTCTCAGAACAGGGTCCAAGCTGTGGACCATCTTCCCCAGGTGTCCTTTCCTTTTGTAGGCAGAGATCAAGAATGGTGCTTGTGGTGGCAGAGGGCATGGAATGGGGAACCAGGCATCTCCAACTTCTGCCTTTCCCTACAGGAATGGGATGCTGGGCCCGGGAGGTGCTGGTCCCCGAGGGGCCCTTGTACCGCGTGACTGGAACAGCTGTCTCCATCTCCTGCAATGTGACCGGCTACGAGGGACCTGCCCAGCAGAACTTCGAGTGGTTCCTGTATAGGCCTGAGGCCCCAGATACTGCACTGGGCATTGTCAGTACCAAGGATACCCAGTTCTCCTATGCTATCTTCAAGTCCCGAGTGGTGGCGGGTGAGGTGCAGGTGCAGCGCCTACAAGGTGATGCTGTGGTGCTCAAGATTGCCCGCCTGCAGGCCCAGGATGCTGGCATTTATGAGTGCCACACCCCCTCCACTGATACCCGCTACCTGGGCAGCTACAGCGGCAAGGTGGAGCTGAGAGGTACTGGGCCCTGGGATGGGGTGGGGCCACACACCCTCTCAAGGCAGAAAGTCAAAGCCACAAGTGACCTATCTAACTGCCCCTTAGGTTTTGTAGCCAAGGAACTTGAGGCCCAAAGAGGTTAAGTGACTTGCACAAAGTCGCCCAATAACTCAGTGACTGATATGGGACTCAAACCCAGATTGCCTCACCCAGGCCAATGCTTGTCTTATCAAATCAAGACCCCTCCTGGGAGAAGAAGGGTCCTTCAGTTGTCCATTCCCCTTTCCATTCCCAAGAACGAGGAAAACTATTGGGTTGAATAGACTCTACTCCTGGACAGTACAGGACCCAGATCTGGCAAAGAGAGTAGAGTTAGGGAAGGAGTGAGACCGTGTGACATTCTCACTAAGTTTCTTTGTGTTCTGAGAAGGCAGACAGAACCACTTTTCTCAGTATTTCAAACAGGGGTCAGTCTCGAACATAGAACCAACATGGGCTGGTTCTATGAAATTCAACAAGTATTTATTGAGTGCCTGTGCTGTGCCCAGTACTGCACTTGGCACCACTGAGTTACAGAGGAAATAATACAACATGCAATCTTTGCCCTCTGAGAGCTCACAGTCTATTTAGGGAGATAGGCTGTACACAGGAAACAGTAACAAGGGCTGCCAGCTCCCAGCCCTCCCTCACTCCAGCTGTTCTCTCCAGTTCTTCCAGATGCCCTCCAGGTGTCTGCTGCCCCCCCAGGGCCCCGAGGCCGCCAGGCCCCAACCTCACCCCCACGCCTGATGGTGCATGAGGGGCAGGAGCTGGCACTGGGCTGCCTGGCGAGGACAAGCACACAGAAGCACACACACCTGGCTGTGTCCTTTGGGCGATCTGTGCCTGAGGCACCAGTTGGGCGAGCAACTCTGCAGGAAGTGGTGGGAATCCGGTCAGACTTGGCCGTGGAGGCCGGAGCTCCCTATGCTGAGCGACTGGCTGCAGGGGAGCTTCGTCTGGGCAAGGAAGGGACCGATCGGTACCGCATGGTAGTAGGGGGTGCCCAGGCAGGGGACGCAGGCACCTACCACTGCACTGCCGCTGAGTGGATTCAGGATCCTGATGGCAGCTGGGCCCAGATCGCAGAGAAAAGGGCTGTCCTGGCCCACGTGGACGTGCAGACACTGTGTAAGTACCACTTATACATCCCACTGTGGGAGCTGGGAGGGACAGTATCCTGGTGGGCGCTGTGGCCGCAGGGGGTACCAGAGAGCTATCATCTGACTCCAAGGAACTCATCTTCCACAGAGTGAGCAGCCTTGTTAGCATTTCTTTCCCCTCTGCCCTTGATGGGTTTTCTCTGCTCAGAAATTGGGTATAGAGATAGGAGGCCCATGGCTGAGGGGTGAGATTCAAGCCCCCAAGTAGAAAGATGATCATACCCAGTGAGGGGCAGACAGGAGGTTTTGAAGTTGCTGCTGTCAAGGAGGAAACAGAAAATTGGGAATCAGGTGCCTCTGTGTCCCCTCCTGCCTCCATGACACCTCTTCCCCTTCCTGTGTTTCAGCCAGCCAGCTGGCAGTAACAGTGGGGCCTGGTGAACGTCGGATCGGCCCAGGGGAGCCCTTGGAACTGCTGTGCAATGTGTCAGGGGCACTTCCCCCAGCAGGCCGTCATGCTGCATACTCTGTAGGTTGGGAGATGGCACCTGCGGGGGCACCTGGGCCTGGCCGCCTGGTAGCCCAGCTGGACACAGAGGGTGTGGGCAGCCTGGGCCCTGGCTATGAGGGCCGACACATTGCCATGGAGAAGGTGGCATCCAGAACATACCGGCTACGGCTAGAGGCTGCCAGGCCTGGTGATGCGGGCACCTACCGCTGCCTCGCCAAAGCCTATGTTCGGGGGTCTGGGACCCGGCTTCGTGAAGCAGCCAGTGCCCGTTCCCGGCCTCTCCCTGTGCACGTGCGGGAGGAAGGTGAGAGGGGGCTGGGCCCTGGACACGGTTCGAGGATTGTCAACCCCTTTTCCTTCTGTTTCCATGCCCCCCTCCCTCTCCATCAGCTGCTTGCATGCCACAGCCTCACGCTCCTGTTCTCCCAATATTGTGGGAATACCCTGAGTTTCCTGCGGCGGTGCTTGGCAGCAGCTCTAACCCCATGCTTCCTGGCCCTGCACCCTCTGACCCCATGTCCTTTGTTCTGCAGGCGTGGTGCTGGAGGCTGTGGCGTGGCTAGCAGGAGGCACAGTGTACCGGGGGGAGACTGCCTCCCTGCTGTGCAACATCTCTGTGCGGGGTGGCCCCCCAGGACTGCGGCTGGCCGCCAGCTGGTGGGTAGAGCGACCAGAGGACGGAGAGCTCAGCTCTGTCCCTGCCCAGCTGGTGGGTGGCGTGGGCCAGGATGGTGTGGCAGAGCTGGGAGTCCGGCCTGGAGGAGGCCCTGTCAGCGTAGAGCTGGTGGGGCCCCGAAGCCATCGGCTGAGACTGCACAGCTTGGGGCCCGAGGATGAAGGCGTGTACCACTGCGCCCCCAGCGCCTGGGTGCAGCATGCCGACTACAGCTGGTACCAGGCGGGCAGTGCCCGCTCAGGGCCTGTTACAGTCTACCCCTACATGCATGGTAAGTGACACCCCTCTACCCTCTTCACTCTGCCTTCCTCCCGGCCCCTGCTGCTGGCCTTCCCTTCCCATCTTCTCACCCTCCTGCTACTATCTCTCTCCTCCACATCCTGTCACATGAAGTCTCAAAAAATCCAACTTCCAGCCCTGCAGTGCCCACCTGCATGGGGTCCTCTGTGGTTGATGCTGACTTGCATGCTGAGGGGGCAGGCTGTGGGCAGGGATGGGGTGCCTGTGAATGGAGAAGGTGGGTTCAGAGAACTTGATGGGGAACGTGTAGAGGCAAGTGTGATGGGTGGAGGATGATGGCATCCTCTCTGAACAGTCATACTCTCTCCCCCAGCCCTGGACACCCTGTTTGTGCCTCTGCTGGTGGGTACAGGGGTGGCCCTAGTCACTGGTGCCACTGTCCTCGGTACCATCACTTGCTGCTTCATGAAGAGGCTTCGAAAACGGTGATCTCTTACTCCCCAGGTGAGGGAAAAGAACCCCCAACCTTGTTTTCACTGGGCTTCCCACCACCAAGTCCTGAACCAAGCTGCTCCCTCCCAGGCCCCACCTGGAGGAGGAGTAGGCAGCTCAGATCCACAGGGCCCTGTTAAGGGGTGGAGGCCACGAGGGAGCCCCACGCAGGGCTCTCTGTCCTTAGCTCACGCTGGGCGCCCTTTTCAGGTCTTGCAGGTGTTGACTGTCTTCCGGCCCAGCTCCAAGCCCTCCTCTGGTTGCCTGGACACCCTCTCCCTCTGTCCACTCTTCCTTTAATTTATTTGACTTCCCACTACCCAGAATGGGAGACATCCCTCCCCTTCCCCACTCCTTCCCTCCCAAGCCCCTCCCTCTGGCCTTCTGTTCTTGATCTCATAGGGATCCTATAGGGAGGCCATTCCCCATCCTGGAATTAGTTTTTCTAAAAAGTGAATAAACTGGTTTTATAAAAAGCAGGCTTGGCTGTGTCTTCCCTACCATGAGACTGTAAAAGGCTCAGGGTGCACAGTAGGGAGGTGGTTGGGGGTTGACAACCTATTCTGGACGACCCAGGCCTCTCTTCCCACCACAAACACCATCTGGCCTCTGCGGGCCATACCACCTACCCCAGGAGGGGACACCTGGGTTCCATCTGCTGCCTGAACTGTCAGGGCTGAGACAACTCCTGACTGGACTCCTACTTGGGGAGGGAAGCATAGAAAAGGAGGGTAGGTTCCAGCTGCATGTGGTCCCCCCTCCCCAGCTTCTCCCATGTTAAAGGGCATGGGCCACCAGGGGCAGTGCCTTTTCTGAGCTCCCTAGACTTTCCCCCACTCTTCTTATTCTCCTGGTCAGGCTAGTCTTGGACCTGAGTCCTCCCACTAGGCCCTGGGGCTGCAATTCTTGTTCCTTCTGACTGATAGCAGCAGAATAGAAGCCTCAGAACACAACTGATACTCAGGCTGGGACAACAGGCAGTCAAGGGAGGGCCTGTGTGTCCACAGAGCCATTGCACCCGCATGTACTTGCTGTACCTGCATACACCCACTACCCGCATACACCCACTACACCCGCATATACCTGCTACACCCGCATATACCTGCTTCACCTGCCTATACCCACCCTGGGATCTCCTCCCTCCCATCCTTCAGCTTCACCCCTCCTCCAGTGCCCCAGGAGTTTCATGAATTTTCTTGCCTAAGGATTCTCTGATCCTAAAATTCTTACCTGCATGGCACAAAATTCTTACCTGCACGGCACCTTAAGAGGCATCCAGTAGGCCTCCTTCAGTTGTTATTTAAACATTTATTGAGCATTACGAGTTTGCTAAGTGTCATTTTTACAGATGAGGAAACTGAGGCCCAGATATGCGATTTGCCCAGAGTCATAGAGCTAATTAGCAAGTGTCAGGAGTAGGACCTAGGTCTCCTGACTTGTTGCACTGTACAGTGGTGCCCTGAGTGGTGACAGTGGCGAGGAGAGGTGTGGCAGGGTCCCAGTGACTTCAGCAGGCAGGAGGGGCCTTTCCAGCCTCAGTTTCTCTGCTTGTTCAGTTGCAAAGGGTTGGCTCCTGTGTGAGTGCGTGTGTGTGGATACCAAGTAGCGCATCCCCTCTTGTCCAGACTCCCGTTTTTCTGAAACCCAAATGAATCCCCATTCCACACCCCAACATCTGTTCTTAGGGGACCAGCCAATACCAGCATTCAGGAATCTCATCTTTGATGACAGGACCCCCTGGTGGCCCTGTGACCTGAGGCAAAGATATCCGTGCTTTGACTGAAAGGAAGGGACTGGGACTTGGGTCCTCTCTGAGTGAACCCAAACTGTCTGGGCTCCTTCCATGGCCCCCTTTCTTGCTTCCAGAGGACCCATAGGACCCTGGCTGTGCCCATAGGACCCTGGCTGTCCAGCCTGGAACAGAGAAGAGGAGTGCTTTCCCCAGGGGGCTTATGAAAGGGCAGGAGTGGGATGTGGCCAGGGCCAAGGGAGAAGGTTCTTGCTGGGCCAGTGCTGCTGTGTGGGAGACAGGCACTGTCCCAAGGCAGGCTCTCCTGGGCCTACGCTTTTCTCCAGGCCAGCTTCAGGTCCCTTGCACCCCTCTGCCCCTCTCAACTTGCCATTGTTCTTCCCCACCATCCAGGAAGCTGCCGCTGGTGACTGGGATGTGATCAGGAAGCAGGTGGAGGTGGGGTGAGAATATGTGTCTTTGGGACCCCCTGGCCCAGTGGGCTGACAGCAGGCTGCAGACACATCCAGATGTTCTGACTCCTATCACTTCTCTCAGATTTTCTCCTACATTCAATCCTGCCTCCAGTCCTACAAGGGGTTCTGTCCTTTGTCCCTAAAACCCTTCCTGTTCCACCTCCCCCTGGCCTCCCCAGGAACCCCCTCAAGTCCTTCTGATGGCTTCATCTCTCTGTCGGGCCTGCTCAGCTTCCAGACACCCCCTCCACTTGTCACTGCCCTGTTTCCACTGATGGTTGAGTTCCTGGGCCCAAAGTTAAACTCTTCAGCCTGGGCTTCGGGTCCCTTTCCCACACACAAAACCCCGCCCTTCACATTTCTCTGTCTGCTCCTGTGAGGATCCTCAGCTTCTTCTTAGCTTCTCTCATCTTCCTCTCAGCTACTCCTCAGTTTCTATACCCCATGTCCTGATACGACTTCCAAGTCTTTGCTTAGAGCACAGGTTCTCAAAGTGTGGTCCCCAGTCCAGCAGCAACAGCATGACCTGGGGACTTCTTAGGAATGCACATTTTTCTCTGACCCACCTCTTGGGTCAGAAACCCTTGGAGTGGAGCCCAAAAATCTGTGTTTTAACAAGCCCTCCAGGTGATTCCAATGCACACTGAAGATTTCTAACTCCTGACTTACATATTCCTTATGGCTTACACCGGCCCCAGCCTTCTGATCACCCACACTCCCCCACCCTCCGCGGGACTGCACAGGTTGTCAGTTTGAATCATCCCTTGTTCGGTCGCCACAGGTCGATTCCTCTGTTTTCCCAGGTGCCCCTTATTTTGAGGACAGGAACCAGGTTTTTGAATGTCCACTCCACATGGCACCCAATCAGTGATGTGAATGACTGTGCCCCAAGGACACACTGCTTTCCTAGGGGCTCCCTGTGTCCCAGCTCTAGTGAACCCACTTTCTAGATCTCTCTCTGTCCCTGCCTCCTCAGAAGCTCTCTCCCTATTCCTGCCTGTGCCTGATACCTTTAAGATCTCACTCCACTGTAAGAAAATAGCCATCGCTGGTTTTCCTTTCCCAGGCCCTTCTCCAGGCCCCAGCTCAGGCACCGCCCTGCTCTGCCTGCTTCCCTGAACTTGCAGACTAAGGTCATTCACACCTTGCTGAGCCCCCTCGCACCCCTTCATCCTGGGGAGGGTGGAGCTAGGAGGGCACCCTCCTCATGTGTCCATCTTGGTGCGGCTCCTTTCTCCTTTGCTTCAGCTTGGCCTACCGTGTCATTAGACAGTTGTGCCATATGTGGGGAGGCTGGCAGAAGAGGTGAGTGGGGACTGCAATCCATCCTACACTCTACCCCCCAAGCCATGCACCCTGGTTTGGGGCTGTATCTGTCTGGAGGAAAAGGGTTCCTTTTTAGAATTTGCACAGAGGTGTTCTACAGGTTAGTGGCAGCCCTGAGTGAACCGATTGTCTATTGGTCCATTTATGTATCTGTCAGCTGTCTTTATCTGCCACCATCTTCCCATCCAACCCCCAAAAGTTCATCCTTCTGTCCATCCATCCACTCATGAACAAATGTAAAGGTCAAACACAGACTGGCATGTTCACCTGGCCCCACCCTCCATTTCCCTGAAATCAGGACCCCTCCCTTCCATACTGGATTCTAGACTTGAGATTCTGGGGGATGGGAACTTTCCAACGTTAGCACATTTCCAGGGGCTTTGCCTACCTTCTCCTCCTCCTCCTCCTTCTCCTCCGATATGCAGTTCCCCATGTACCTGTGTCTGGCCCCCGGTCTGCCACAGGGGTCTGGAGGAAGCTGGTCACACCTTGGACTCACTTTCTGGGGGTGGCAGGCAGCCATTCTGCTCCTTGTCGGCCCCAGCTTCC